TGATCTGGCGACATACCTGTTCCTCGCTGGTTATAACCACTTCAAAATATTTTAGAAGCTGCTGCATGGTGAAGGGTTCGCCGGGAGAAGTGATCTTTTTGTGAATAACTTTACGTTGGATCCCGACTGGAAATTTCGAAAGAACCTTTTGATACATGGACTGATTATCGACATTTTCACCTTTTTGCGCTAATTGATCTATGATGGCTTCTATGTCTTCCAATAGTCTGCGTTGCTCGTGTATGGACGACGAGTGAAGGGAGATTTTGTCCATCTTTTTGAGGAGCTGGCGAATGAGTTCTTCAGGGTTANTTATTATTTTGAAGGTACTGGTATCTTCTTTGAGGTGTTTCGTATTTACTGCAATGGAAAGGCTTATGGTCGCCTTTACAATACATACACCGGAGCCTTGTTGTCTGCGGCTTCCAGTGTTTGACTTTGTTGTCAAAACTAACTGCCTCTCGAGGAGGTGTTGCGCTGATCTGGCGACATACCTGTTCCTCGCTGGTTATAACCACTTCAAAATATTTTAGAAGCTGCTGCATGGTGAAGGGTTCGCCGGGAGAAGTGATCTTTTTGTGAATAACTTTACGTTGGATCCCGACTGGAAATTTCGAAAGAACCTTTTGATACATGGACTGATTATCGACATTTTCACCTTTTTGCGCTAATTGATCTATGATGGCTTCTATGTCTTCCAATAGTCTGCGTTGCTCGTGTATGGACGACGAGTGAAGGGAGATTTTGTCCATCTTTTTGAGGAGCTGGCGAATGAGTTCTTCAGGGTTACCGTACTTATTAGTGAGGAATTCTATGGCTTTTAAGTAATTTTGCTTAGTGAGTTGGAACTTCTTCATCGATTGTAGAAGTTCCCCTTTTAAGGAGTAAAGTAGGTAATTGAATTTTTGTAGCTCTGAAAGATTTTGTGAATGTACGTTTAAGTTGAAAAGCTCTCAAAAGTTATCCCAGTCCCAGATGTCGCCATTGAATGTTGGGATTGGGATTGTGGGTAGCTCCAGATTTTTCACGACCGCGGTGACGGTGGATTCATCTTTACTCCTATTCGTAGTGGAGTGTTTGTGGGATGTGTTGAAAAGCTCAGCATGAGCCTTGAAGCCATGGATCCGAGCATGAAGGAGTACAAGGTATTCAAAAGTATTGCCAATGGCTTCTTCAGCAGTAGTTGAGTACTGTGTGAACTCTTCTTCAATATTCGGTGACGTTGGGTGTAATTTTTCGAACATGGTAGCGAGTTCATCTAGTGCGTGTTGAATCTTTGTGGTCATGTTTTCTAACGCTGCCACTGCTTCCTCTAACTGCTGTAGGCTTGTTTGAATAACGGTGGGCGTTATCTCATCTTGCAGGTTTTGAACGCTGATTTCTTCTAACTGCGCATCTTTGAATCGGGTTAGAACTTTTTGCAATTGGTTAGTATACCGCGTGAGTATCCGTTTGTGACTTGCCAGTGATAAGTTGGACATGATTGAAGAAATTAACGTACTTGGTTGTAACTTCCTTGACCTGATGGATTCTTTCAAGCGGCCAATGCACCAGAAATTATGGTGGGACGGCTAGATTATATAGGAATACCAAGTAGTTAAGATGATTCGGTCGGAGTTTGCTGCTCGCCTTTGTGTATGCCACGCGGGACTTCTTGTAAGTAGCAGTCACAATGCCGGAAACCTCAAACTTGGGTAATTAAACCGTTTATCATAATTATACAACAAACATAGCAATACAACTTTACAGATAATGCAACAATGATACGGGCTATGAGTAGGCGTAACCTGATCACTAGTGTTCAGGTTGCTTGTGTCTGAATAGATTGGGATAACAGTACAACTGTGTAATTAATGCAACCATGATACGATGATGTGTGATATTTGGCGATATGTGAGCTGGGTGGATAAAGGCGGAATTCAAATGGTAACAAGTGATACACTTGAAGGAATTAACGCGGACACTGGTGTCGGAGCACTAAGGAATTGAGGGATCGGAAGCAGACCGGTCGAACGCGGCTAAGATTTCAGGACCAGTCCTATGGGCTGCCTGTATTACATCTGAAGTGGGTGGAGCTTTGCTAGAGGGAACTGAAGGCGGCGTCCAGAGAGGGGTTGCATGTGGAATGGTGCAGGTGTCTGTTCTGAGACTTTTTTGGAGCGACAGATGCTGAAAAGTGCATTCAGCTGGCTGCTGCTGATTCCCTTTCCAGCCACCTGCGAGGCAATTGCATGAAACGGTTGTTAAGAGATGATTTACCGAATGTGCAAGGATAGATGTATGACGATTACGAATAGATAGGTGTTGTAGAAGGCATAAGGTTATAATTGTTCTACATAGAGAACATTCCAATATTCGTGGAGAATGTTCTCTATACATGACGTTGGTTTAAAGGAGTTCGTCGTAACCTCGAAGTTGAGATAGGTCGCAGACATCCTTCAAATACCAATGACATTGCATTGAAGTGTTCGCCGGTTCGTGAAATTGAAATTGGGTTCGTTGCTGATTTGGACTGTACAGATCAATCCCGCTGACGGGTGATTGCTGATGGCAGAGATCGATAGAACTAGCTGAGAGACAAGCGAAACGAAGGACCCGGATGGTGTGGTGGTGAACGCGTCACTCCCCGGAAAGAACAATAACGTGTTCCCACCGGACATTATCATTATATATCCACCATCAGCATCGTGTATAAAAGGACATCACTGAGTGAGGATGCCTCATTCGAGAAGATGGCTCACTGAGGAAGACCTGGCTCGACACGAAGGCGAAGCTGCAACGTCGAGACGAACAACAATCATGGACCATCGACTCGGATCATCGGCTCTGAGGAAGACGAAGACGTCGAAACGTTAGCCGAAAATAAATATATTTATCAACCTCGTGCAAGCTTATCAAGAAAGAATACATATTGATTTGTCACACCGAGGTTTAGAGAAAGTCGGTTTCGAAATAACGTGTTCGTTCCCCACCGCAGACACTTGCGGTCCCCTGTTTTGTAAATGTCTCAAGTAAGTGAGATAGTTACAACAACAAATTACGTTATTCAAACTGGCATGAAGCCAACTGCTGCTCCTATTTTTGGGCCAAAAGAAGTGCGAAAATTTATGGCAAGGTCGAAACCGCCTTCAACTAACTCATTGCCTCTAGAAATTTAGCATTTCAGATAGTCTGAATGAGTACACTTGTTGCTCGTCAGCAAAAATGCTGAAACATTATTAGTTTCTGTCTTGTTTATATATAAAGATGTGTATCTCGGCATTGATCAATCCCTGAGGAACTTTCCATGTACTCTACTTCATTAACCGTCGTTATTGGTGACTGAATGCATATCTAGCTTACACTATCACTCGCCACGACCTGCCTATGCATCGCTTCAGTGCTGCAACCTTCCCAGACAGGTCTAGTAACAATTTGCCGACTTCGGATAGAACGAGGGCTTGATGAGAATGGATTTGAGGCCGAACCATGGGTTTAGCAGGGTGTCCCTAACCTCAATGCTACACGCGCCCCTTCATTTCTACCAGCAATGACAAAATTTCACTTTAAATATTCCGCCTTAAAAACGCAGAGTAAAAACTTTAATTTAGGATAGATCCAGTACTGATGTAGTGCAGCAGATTCGTTTCCGTACGATGTCGGAGTTTCAACATTGTCTTGCCTTTCAAACTAAGAAATATTGTATTTTTTATTCCATTAATGTGCATTCACTCATCATAAAGATTTCAGCTAGATGCGCTGTGCAATACATCTGTGGTCGCTGGTTTAACCCTGTGCATATCAGTGAAGACGAACATCTCTACATGTTTTACATAATCTCAGCAGATCTCAATAACTCAAAAGACCGACTTTCTATAAACCTCGGTATAGATAGTTGATATATTTATATTATACTACTCATATACTGGACGAGAGTCCCACTCGTAACAGCACGGCTCTGAGGAAGGCGAAGCCGCCGCAACGTCAACTATCGACCAACAACACCAACAGCAACGACAACGACAACGACAACGAAGGCCTATACCGACCTCGCACCAGCTCAAGAAGATCAGTTTATAAGGTCATATAAATGAAAATATCTCACCAGATCTGTTTCAGTAAAGCCCTATTCGATTCACACACAGCACCGAGCGTTCGTCGTAAAGACAGTCTAGGAGCACAGTGAACAACTCCACCGACAGTCAATTCGACGACAACTCGATGCCGTTTATAACGAATAGAAAATCCTGCTGCGCAAACGAACCGAGAATCCGTAGACTTTCGAATGACGGACGCAAGACAACAAACTAAGGGAAGCATGTTGTATCGTATGATACAAATTTTACAAAACCTTTCAAATTTGTGAAAGCGCTGCTACAACATGGGATGTTCGAAGAAATGGTTCAAGATGCTCTGGATCATTAGACCACACGATTGGAAAGAGTCGGTTAAATAAGGATCAGAATTCAACAATAACCATGTCGGATTCAATAAGAATATTAAAACGACGAGTTAAAGGAAGAAGGACCACTAATCGGAAAAAATGTGGAATACTTTACACCACACAGCTGAAGTTTAGTTGTCAATGGTACAAGCTGAAGTTGATGAGAGAGTCGCCATAACCGAGAACACAAGCGGCGAAGATCTTCAAATGTGACTTTATGTGTAGTAGAAGGTAGAGGACAAAACCCACACTTATTTCAAGAAACGGGATGATGCAAAACATCGTACCATTCCTCTTCCGCACCAAAAATTACGTAACGAGTTATCGATTGCGAAAAACGCCCAGTCGACGGCAAATAACTTTCGAATTAAGCCGTAGCCGCCAAATTCTAGAAGATTGTGTCAGCTCGCCAAAGGCCTACGAAGTTCAGAATTGTAGCTGTTTAAGACATTTGCATCGGAGATGTTTATCATGCGAACAATCGAAACCTTTTTAGAAAGGTTGGCAAAGATATTATTATCAAAAACAAATTCTTTCTACGCCATTCCTGGTCGCGAAATGTTGGTTCACTAACGGCAAGGCAATAATTCCGTTGTTTTTCATTTCTGACGACCTTCCAAAAATTGTACTTCTCTAAGGTAAAAAGTGTCATCAGGGCAGCGTCCCAAACATCCGCCAAACGTAAAGCCTCCAATTGTGTTCAAGTCTACGATGCATGAGATATTGAAAAGTAATCAAGTGTTTTAAAGTCGCATATAGATATCATATTGATAACTAACGATTGATCTTCGCAATAGATCAAAATTGTTGTAGTCCTATGCTGCAAAACCTAGCTGCAAAACCCTATGATGATTTGCACCGAACGGAATAACTCGGTAGAAGCGAGTGGTCTATCCCAATTTGATCAGGTATTAGATGAAAAAATGAAATGGCGGGATGAGAAATAGCCCAGAAGGTGGTATGGGCTGACACACGGCAGAAAATCGGATCACAGGGCGTGTTGTTTATAACAGGTGGATGAGATGCACGAGTCTCGATAAGCGATGCTTAAGACATTGCAACACCGTTAAAGGATTCACATAATAAAGGAAATATCTAGGGATGAAATAACTATCCATATTGGAGGACTAGCGTACTGTGCAGGTAATAGCCGCTCATCATATCCACCTGGCATTAACGGATGAAGACTGGAAAACTGAAACAATTTTAACCACAATAATGCTAAAATATTTGCAAAGATCCGAATCCCAGGTGTTTTCGGTGAAGATCGAACGCACGTTGGCATCAAGCCTGGCCATTGTGTTTATGTCTAAAATAGAAGCCCCTGTTATCGATCTCCGTTCGCTACTCTACTGCAGATACATAGATGAATGTTTTGCCATCTTCTGTACACACGAAAAGATGGACAAATGATTTGAATTGTTGAATGAGAACTCTGAGTATATTAGATTCACCCGGGAGAAACCGAAAAAGACTTAGCTTGCATTTTTTAACGTTCACATCAACTTATCAAGTAGCGGTTACATCAGAAAGTGGTACCGAAAACTAAGTAACAAAAAACATCCTGATTCATTTCCTCTCTTCCCATCCTTGACACACAAAGAAGGCGATAGTGAGAAACATGTTTCAAAACAACCACTCTCTGTGTACAACCAGGGTACCAAAGAGAGAATCTTGGCTAGGCTAATAGCCATCCCCAGCAGCCACGAAATAGTAACCCGACCTGGTAAGTTTAAAAGGAGAGCGAGGCCCCAAAACCAAACACAAACCAATGTATTCGTCTCCACGTGCTTTAGAAAAGATAAAATACACCGTACGTGAACGCATAGGATCACCGTATCTCCTGTTATTGGATATTATACAATGTTGTATTGAACACAGACGGTCATATAGGCGGTTACAATATCGCAGGCCCTTGTGGTGATCAGATGTGGCGCGTTTGGCACAGTGGTCGGAGGCGCCCTGCAACATACACATGGAATCGATTCCGCATCTATGACCCACCAAGGCTTCCATCTCTCTGGGGTTAGCAAATTGGTACCAGACTTGTCTGGGAGG